AGCTATAGATTATGTGAATGTGGAGTTATTTCTTACGCGTATTTTAAATTATTTTAATGCATTATCTTTTTAGTTGTTATAACACTATCAATTTCATATTTGGAGTATCAAAAACCTGAACAACAGTTTCTCAATCTATTCCCTTGAATTGTTGAATTGCAATTAAACTTTTATTAATTAGTCATAAAAAACTATTTTTAAACAATTTGAAAAATGTTATTTATTATTCTGTCACGCTTTACAGATAGACTGAATGAAAAAATTAACTTTAATGAAGTTTAAAATTTAATTTTGTTAAATTCAAATCCGGATGTACTGATTTACTTGTTTCCATTCCATACACTACCATTATCATTTTCATTCAAGTTATAATCATAATTCGTGTCATTATTATTATTCATAATGATAACTATTATTATTATGATCTTTTAGCATAGTTGATTAGTAATACCCAGTTCCCCGAGGTAGGACACCTCGGGGAACTGGGTCTCTGGGCGCTAAACGAAGATTGATTGATTGAGTTGAGTAGTAATATTATGAATCTTTTTTCTGTCTGCAATGGTGCATCAACCAATTTATTAATGGGTAACACTGGTGCCACCATCCGCTTGATACTCTAATCACCTTAACGTGTTTCCACTCTTTCTGCTCTTATATTCCTTGGTACGTCACTGTCTGTCTGTCTTTCTATTGGTCTGTCTGTCCTGTTGTCTGTTTCTCTGTCTGTCTGTGTGTCTATCTGACTGTCTGTCTGTGTGTTTGTACGTCACACATATGTGAAAACATTGCTTCAGTCAGAGGTACTTTATTTTGTTGTGACCCTTGAACGTTCGTTACTGCCAACACCGATGCTGTAACTTCAAAGATCTCTATATTTCCAACACCAGTGTTGTTGCTTCCAAGTGTTCGTTATTCCGTAGGTTCAAGGTTTCCGATAGATGAATATAACTGCTTCAAACGCAATCTTTGTTGAAAGTTCATTGAATGCCAACAGTAATAGAAACATTAAACTAATACAAGTAACCCCATTTACGACTTCGCTTCAGACCTCTCTGGATACCTGACTACAAAACATGACTGTTTTTTACATCTAGGCCGAACTGATATATAGTCTCAACAATTACCATCGAAATAATACAAATATCATTTTACGATCCTCAATTCAAAGATTACAAATACAGCAAAGATAACAATAAAATAATAATATAGCGCAATTTTACCAATCTGGCGGTTTTATCAATATTCACATCACTATGCGTTTGTTGAATGTTGAATTAAGACTCCCTTCAAATAGCACGCATCGGGTTTTCAACATAAAAAAAAATCATTTTTTACACCGTACGTCACATAAATACAAAAAACTTTCAACACATTTCAAATCGTAAATAAACATTCCCTCTTTAAGTATTAATATTTAAATATCACTCATGTTTCGAAGAGTATTTCAACGCTGCCAAATTGTTTTCTATTTAATTTATCCATGGTCCTGTCGATCACAACCTCCTCACAGGCAAATCAACCAGACAATACCTTTGAATTTGTTTTTCGGTTACAGTGAGTTTGTTCCCTTTTTTTGTTTTTATTAGGCAGCTTTGACACGCAGAACTGCTTACCAGTCGTTCTGTAACTATAGAACTGAGTTTACCTGCCACAAAATTCGTAACGACCGCACTACAACTCGCATACTCTCATGTTAGGGGAGAGTTTCGAGTTTTGGGAAGACAATATCCGAAAACGGTCATCCCGTAAAAATGACAAAAGACTGAAAATTGAAACTTTCAGTTATAGGGGCAAATCAGGGTTTGGCTTACAGGAGCAGTCAATAATCTTTTATGTCGCTATTATTAACGATGATGATAAAGATAATCACACTAATTAATAGGAATTAATTACTAAAAAAAACATTCTGCAGCGGAAAATGTTTTTTTCTTGGCTAATGATAGGACGTTTATATATCCAAAAGAGGCGAGATGCTATTTCTTTTATATTGTAGGAAAGAAAGTAGAAGCAATAGCATCGTCTGTGATCTACCATCAGTCTATGCAATCCTTCTCAGTCGGTTGCCAAAGAGTTGACGATCATACTGAAACTCTTGCGACCTTTTACGAAATTGTTTATTGTGGTAAGAATTTTTTCAAAAAATATATATAAATATTTTCTATTAGCTTAATAATCTAAAGGACAAAACAAGGTTTTGGGCCCGGATCGGATTTGAAGATCTGATGACTTAAGTCTTTGATTGTATGTTCAGAATGAAAAAGACAATTTTTGTAAAATTTTTTAAAAATTTGTCATGATAAAATGCGAATTTGTTGAATTCAAATAAAGTTTCATCGACAAACTAGATTGCTAAGTTGACAGATACAACAATATTATCATGTATCTGCAAGCATTGTCCGTAAAAATGCGGAATACAAGTTTGGTTAAAACCGTAAAGATTGCTGACGCAGATTATATTTTGCTTCAATGAGGTGGGTTTTGTGTACAAACCATAGTACAGAAGCTAGGTATATATGTCCTTTTTTTAATGCAGCCCTGTTTGGAGCTTGCTGACCAACCAGATTTTGAAAATTTAGTTTTTCTACACTACTCCTATACATTTTTTTTTGAGAACATTTTTCACAAACCGATTAATAACCGCCAGACTGACATTTGCGTAATTTTAACTAGATCCAATTTTTAAAATACCAACTTCAGCCTGATTTTACTACCATAAAATATAGTTCTCAACTTTATGTATTTTTCAAGAAAATGTAAAAAGGTTATTAATGAAAAAATTTTTTGTTAGAAACATTGATTGAAAGAAGCACGGCCAACCCGAACAACAATACATATACCGCCGAACTATCCTTTACGATGAACGGCTACACAAGCCCATATGCTATTACCTACCACATTCCCGGCATATCTGGCCAATCCAGGACTGTTTTCTATAATGAAACTCGCTATTCTTATGAAGTATTTATTGTTATCCACTGTTTTAAAATCAGAAATTTGATGATGGTTTTATTTCGAATTTTTCGTTAAAAACTCTAAATAATTTTGTCATATATTTATTCAAAATTTTAAGACAACTGACTGTGTTTCACATAATTATTTATATCATTATTAAATGTATTCAAGTGTGTAGAGACTATTAATTGAAACCCTCTTATGTCAATTGTTTATTATACCTCTATAGGGATTAAAGTGTTTGAGAGTAATTGAAAATTACTACTCTTACTACTCTCATGCCTACTCTTAATAGCTATGCGGATAACCGGGTTTTCAAACAAAATTTTTTTGGTTGTGAAATAGAAGGATGAAAAGAAACTGTCCGCTACCGGATATGGTCTGGTTAAAATGCAATAAGATTGTATTCAGACCAGAAATTCCTACATTTGGAAGAGATTTTGCCAGGCCCAACCAGATACTACTTATATTAAATAAAATGAATAAAAAATCAGAAAAATAAATATAAATTCCAAACTCTACACAGCTCATTTGGTCAATAGGCAGCGATTTTTCGACGATTCCAGAGGATTCGAACGTCTCCTTCACATTTACGCTCTCCAAGACCGGCGAATCCAAAAAGCGATACTTCATATTCGAATATGACTATGTGTGTTAGTAGTAAAATTGTAATCTTTTCTTCTAAGTTAGAGAAAAAAACTTTTTTTTCAAAACAATAACTTTGATAATTTTTTTTATTTTAAATTATTATGAATTGAAATTTAAAGGGTTGAAAATTGGGGTCCATATTACTTTCTTACAATGAATGGTGACATTACAATTGTTATTTCATTTAACATTTTTCTACACAAATATTCCTACATTTTTTTTTCCAAATATGATTTGTAAATCTTTTTCTGGCGATTTTTTCAATAAAGCTTTTTTGTTATCGAGAAAGAATATTGAAAATAGAAATTGAAATTATATAAATCAAAAAAAAATTGAAACCTCATACATTTAAAAATTGTTCTAAATGCTCACACACCCATAAACACACACACAGGCACGCACGCACACAGACAAACACACAACAACAACACACACACAAACTACAGTGCGTCCAGTCAATGCTACACTCGACAATGATGTCGGAGTTCCTGGCGATACGTTCACACTGCTAGCAATCTCTAAACCTAGCCAAATCACCTGGGACATCACAATTGAAATTTTGGATAAAAACGAAAAAACTAAACCGAAACCATACGCCATAGGAAGTAACAAAATAATTTTTGAAGAAAAAGGTATATACAAAATAGTTGCCATTCCTAGCATCGAAATTAATGGCATAAAACTGACTGGTAAAACTTTAGAGGCTGCCGGTTATGTTGGTGTTTCAAGAGGTTGAGTTTTTAAATTTTTTTTTCTTTTAAAATCATCAATTTTTTTAAAGCTTTGATAAAATTTTTATTGCATAATAATTGCATTAAATGTAAAATTTTTAATAATTTGTTTTACGGAAATTGTGTCACCGATATGTTTTTCCAATTTCCACAGATGCCCTTGTTTTCGATACTGGTTCGTGGACAAACTTTCTGAGTTGTCTAAATTTGTGTAGCATACTTCTCAATAAATTAGATTAATGAATCATTTTATTTTTACTATTTTAACAAGTTTTTACAAAATATTTTTATCCACATGACAGTCCAATCCTTCTTACGCAGCAATAGATATTCATGATAGATGCTTTCTATATTTTTACCGTTTTTATAAATTTTTCATTAGATATAAAAGTATATGCAACTTTTAAATAAAAACTAAAGATCCGCCAAACAAAACCCACAGAACCCATATTTTTTTTATTTAATCCATATTCATAGAACACGACACAACGATTCACAGTTTTCTCAGAAAACAAAAATTCAGTAACAACGCAAGTTTGTGAGTCTATCAGATGCGAGACAGATGATGACAAAAAAGAAGTTGTCTTCTTCCAAATCGAACATAACAACTCGGCTTACACAAATCCTAAAAAAGACACTCTGTCTTTTAATCAAGTTGGCATATACAACGTGGTTTGTGCAATGAAGAACGTCAATGGTAAAACTGGTCCAATCAAGACAGTGTACGGCAGCATTGTAGTTATCGGAAGTAAATATTTTTTGTGTTAATTTTTATTTGCTGTTGTAAAGAGGCATAACATAACGTAACGAAACTAAAATTAACGGAACATGACAGCATAGCCCTACAAGGCCCTACATAACACAGCCAAACATAAGCCAAAACACTTCTGAAATTTTTCTATCCGATTTTGGCTAGCTGTACTTCAAACTTTTCAAAAATCCCAAAAACAACATTTGCAAAATTGGTTTTAATTTAATCACTACTGAAAATTGTCTGAGAACATCCTCTCATCATTCTTCAGTTGTATCTGAGCAGAATAATATAAAATAAAATATAGACAACACCAAATGGCTATTCGTTCCTTAAATGGCGATACCTTTTCAGACAAATTGTTTCATTCACTAAAAAAAATCACTGTTGACGTGAAACTAATAATCCCTACGTTTTTCCGAGAAAATTTGGTCTGTTTCTTGCTTTGCGAAAATCTTGCTGACTTTACATTACCCAATTGTTATTAAAAAACGGTTTTTGTTGTCTTTTTATCAAACATAAACTTAATTTTTTGGAAAATTATTTACAATTCATAGTAATTTTTTACAAAAAAATTTTGGTAAATTTTATTTGAATCATTTAGAAAAAAGTGAAAAAAGGTGTGCTTCTTGGAAGGAAATGAACATAACAAGTTGGAAAAATTACTTTAAAATTCTCATCACCTTCATCATTGTCGTTAACATTTTCATCCAAACTAACATTTGATTTGGATAATTTATAGAACATGCTTATTAAATTTATTAACCCCTTTCTGTATTGAATTAATCTGAATTAATTTTAAAAAATTTTACAAAAAAGAGTATATAAAAAAATCATCGGTAAAACTTTTTGACTCCAAAACAGTCCCAAGTGAAAAATACTCAAAACTATGGTACATGTGGTTCGCAGTCATCCCGTTGATTTTGTTCCTGATATGCGTCCTATTATGTGCCTACATTGCCTATAAACGTTAGCGGTGTTTCAACTCTTTTTATTTGAGAGGTCGACATTAATTTAAACAAATAAAAAATGTGAAATTAATTGAAATTGATTATAATGAATAAATAAAATGTTGAAAAATCAGTAATGAGCGCATGGACGAATCTAGAAAACTTTGTCGGAGAGCCAAAAAAGAATTTTTTGGCTTATCACGTCATTTTTCGTCAAAAACGATACTTTTTCGATCCCTTAGATCTGCCACTAAAAACATACATCTATGTGAATGAATAAACTTTTCAATAAACATATAAATATTTTTGAACATTCATTTTGAAAATTACTTTGACTAGGTTACAAGAAATCTAAAACGAAAGATTTATCAACGGCTGGCCAGTCATCAACAGCAACTAAAGATGCAGTAGAATTATCTGTTTGATTATTTCAAAATATTTTTAAATTGAAAATTAATTTTTCTACGCCAGACAACAAAATTTGAATAAAAATGTTTGAAAACGCTAAATGTTTTTGGTTTAATGTCCTGAATGTTATTACCTTTTTCTAATAAACTTAATACATCTGAGCTTAAAATCAAGTAAAAAATATGCTCAATACTTTAAAACTTTTTGCTCTTTTTTGTTGTATTCAATAATTAAACATTCAATAAAGAAATTTTCCAAATTATTATACTAACTTCAGTTTTTTTAATAATTTTATTTTGTTTTCATTACCAGCATTATGATTTGAAATCAAAGTTTCAGCTAGTGAACTAATTTTTTCAATTGATCGTGCGTCGTTTAATATTTTGAGACTCACAAGACTGATTTTGAATAACCTGTATGATTTATTGTTGTTGCTACGGCCCGCGGGTTATATTTTGAAGCTCACAAGACTGCATGCGGCCCGCGAAGCTATTTAATGCGGCTCGCGAGGTCCTGTCCGCCAAACATTAAGACCACAAAAAAGAACCACAATTCTTAATATCCTAAAAAAAATCTCCCCCGGGTCGAAAAAATTAAAAATTTGCTATTTTAGTAGTCTTGCAGTCTTATTTAAGTGGTCTATGCGGTCCTTCAGAGGTAAAATAATTTTCAATGCGGCCTTCACAGCAAAAAGTTTGCCTACCCCTGAGTTATTGTGATGAACATCCGGATAACCATTTTCAAATTTAGTGAAAAAGTTCAAAGACAAAAGCCATTAAAAATGTTTTGGATGTGTGTTCATCATTAATATCCATTTTTAAAGTGAATAATTTTTTAGCTAAATATGCTTGCATGTATTGAAAAACGACTTTTTCAAAATTTACTGCCCAAATAAATATACATGATATTTCGTCACCCTCAGCAAACGATTTTTATTTTAAATCTTCATTTTGTTTTTTTTTTATTTTCAAAATTATTATCCAAAGTTAATCTTTACCTTGTTCTTGATATTTTAGCAGTCTGAGAAACTCGTCCAGATTTAAGAAGTTATCTCTGTTTTATCATATTGCCTGAACTTTTTAAGGATATCATTGTACCGTATTTTAAATCCTTTTCCTGACACAAAAAATCCAAACTCCTCTTTGGATAGCAATCCGTCACCTGATAAATCGTAACTCAAATGAAATTATAATTCTCTTCTTATATTTTTCCCCTGAAATGGGAATATTATTTTAAAATATTTTAAAAATAATTTTAGAAAAAAAACGAATTGTTGAAGGTTAAAGGTTAGGGTAGGGTAAAAAGCGTTGTTGAAGGTCATAGGTTAAAGGTTAGGGTAGGGTGGTGTTGGCGTCCTTGAATTGAAACCCGGTCGACGTACAGCGTTATCTTCATAACAACGTATCACATCTGGGCTAATGAACTTTAACTAAAAATTATTATAATAATAATTATGATTATTATAATTTATAATAAATCATAAAAATTTATATAGCGCTGAAGATAGCAACTAAAACGTTCAGGTCCTTAAACCAGGTAAATTGAGATGTAACATGAAAAAGAAATTGCAATTTATCAGACTAAATTTAATTTAAAAATGGAAAATAATATTAACAAAGAAATCAATTTTACATATTTTAAAATAAATTTTAAATCAACATTTAAAATCAATTAAATAAACAGAAAATTGAATAACTTCAAATGAAATCGAAATCCAAGGCCAACCTGATGTCAAAACTGAAACTAGCAGCAACAACGGAACGACAGCTCTCAACATCTTCGCCACTTTCTAATCCGACTACAATGCACTACATCAAACATTAAACGTCTTATTTCTGCTGCGAAAGAGAAAGTATTTTAATGAAGGAAGAAAATTAAAAAAGCAAGAGAGTGAGAAAGAGAGAGAGAGAAAGAACGAAGAACGAGAGAGAATGAATTCATAGGAAATGAATAAATGATGCGTATTTTTAACTTTAAAAGTCGTGAAACTCTGTGCAAGTTTCTTTAAGATTGCATGGAACTAAATGTTTTTAAAAAATTGTTCTAGTTTCCATAACAAACAACTGTTAATGCCGGCCGTTAAATAATTCCAAAAATCCTTGAAAGAAATTATTCAAAGTTTTTTTTGCCGTCAAATTTTTTAAAATCTCATTCAAGAAAAAAGTAATTCCTAGAACAAATTGCCTTTTTCCAATATTATTCATAGTCTCTGCGTCTGTCAGATTCTGAGTTTTAAAGATTAATAATAAAAAAAATGATGCTTGGATAATTCCCCATTTAACCAAATCGCATGAATTTGAACCCATCAGCAGTTCTCTGGTCTCGTTTTTTAATCAATGTTTCTTCTTCATAATCATCGTTTGTCTGGACGTGTGTACATTAGTTTGTTGGTCGTGTGTTTGTATGTTTGCCTGCTCTTGCCTTCCTGCTTGCTTGCCTACCTAAGAAATGTTGCCTGCGTTGAATAGGTAGAGAGTTTGAGTATACTCACACAAAATTGCCACTAGCCGAAGATCTTTTTCTATTCAATCTCAACAAAAACAACACCAGTTTTTAAGCATTTATAGTAATTTTATTAATTTTTATGATCATTTTGAAAATTGTGAACATTATTTTTTATGTTCAAGTGGATGTTGATTTGAAGTAAAGTCGGTTTTGCTTGTTTTGTAAGATTTCTTTCTCGAATATTTTGATATGATGAGCACAGGTTTTTGTTTCTATTTGATAATTATAATAAATTTTCATTATTTTTCATTTGATTTGTTTTTGACAAAGATAAAAACCAACTTAGCTACTTAAATGTGATTTTTTAATTTGAAAAATATTCAAAAATTAATTTAAAATAGTCCATAGATTGAACTCCATTAAGATCAATTTTATAGGCATTAGGATAAAATATTTTATTATTATATTAATAAAATTTAACAATTAAACCATCAACTTTATCTTAATTCGCACCGACGTAAAATTTGTCGTAGCTGAGTGATCCATCTTTGTTCGAATCGAGGTCGAGTGTGCCTTCCACGGAATTTTCAAGTTCTTCGTCACTTATTCCAAACTTATTGTCTCAATTCGTCATTTGAAAGTACCCCATCGTCTCCCGCAAACTGGTCGAAACGTTGGATCATTTTCATCATCTGAATGTAGAAATAAAAAGTTTCAACAACTGCAAAGCGCTCAATTTAGCAAACCTTTAATTTTACAAAATGGGTCTAAGATATTCATCGCAGCTGTTTTCAGGGAAGATTTAAATTAAACGGCTTTACGATTATCGTGAATTGAAAAACCGAAAATCTCAATTGATAGAAAATGTTTGATAGCAATTTGCAACACAATTAAGTTAACGCTGAAATTTATTAGCTGTTGAAATCGGTAAGAATAAATAAGAATATTGGACGGGTCGATAGTGTGAAGGTCAAGGTTTAAGGTTTCTGGCACCGGTGTTGCAGTGAGTGGGATCGAATGCAGGGAGATCCCCACCTACCCCATAAGGTTGGTGCCTGTGAAAATAACTGAAGAGAAAGTTGTTAAAAATATATCTGAAAAGAATCTAACCAAGAATCGCCAGTGCAAAGAATGTCAGAACAGCAAGGCACATCAGAAACATCTTCATCTTCTTGGGACGGGTAGCTGTCGGTTTGGTCTGCAAAACTTCAAAACTGTAAGTTTATGCTGATAATTTCAAATTGTTTTATTTGAAATTAATTTATAAGTTGAAAATTCCGATGTTTTTTACACTAAATTTTGTGAAAAATAAAAATAATAAAAAAAGCGTATGGATTTGAACGGGTTGAAATTATTTGGTAAATGTTTTGTTCTTTAAAACAATAAAATAATAATAAAATTAAAAAAAATAAAATAATGATATTAAAATTTGAACGGCAGATGTTCGTACACAATTCAATATTTGCAGGTTTGAAATAATATTTGTGTTTTTTTGTTATATTTACTTTTTGATATTTGGTTGAATGTTTGACTGATTGGTTGGTTGGTTGGTTGTTTGTTTGTTTGACTGATTGGTTGGATTGTTTGATGGTTGGATAGCTGGTTGGTTGACTGTTAGTTTAGATAATTAGTTGTTATATTTATATTGTTTTTTTGTTATATTTACTTTTTGATATTTGGTTGAATGTTTGACTGATTGGTTGGTTGGTTGGTTGTTTGTTTGTTTGACTGATTGGTTGGATTGTTTGATGGTTGGATAGCTGGTTGGTTGACTGTTAGTTTAGATAATTAGTTGTTATATTTATATTGTTTTTTTGTTATATTTACTTTTTGATATTTGGTTGAATGTTTGACTGATTGGTTGGTTGGTTGGTTGTTTGTTTGTTTGACTGATTGGTTGGATTGTTTGATGGTTGGATAGCTGGTTGGTTGCCCGTTAGTTTAGATAATTAGTTGTTATATTTATATTGTTTTTTTGTTATATTTACTTTTTGATATTTGGTTGAATGTTTGACTGATTGGTTGGTTGGTTGGTTGTTTGTTTGTTTGACTGATTGGTTGGATTGTTTGATGGTTGGATAGCTGGTTGGTTGACTGTTAGTTTAGATAATTAGTTGTTATATTTATATTGTTTTTTTGTTATATTTACTTTTTGATATTTGGTTGAATGTTTGACTGATTGGTTGGTTGGTTGGTTGTTTGTTTGTTTGACTGATTGGTTGGATTGTTTGATGGTTGGATAGCTGGTTGGTTGACTGTTAGTTTAGATAATTAGTTGTTATATTTATATTGTTTTTTTGTTATATTTACTTTTTGATATTTGGTTGAATGTTTGACTGATTGGTTGGTTGGTTGGTTGTTTGTTTGTTTGACTGATTGGTTGGATTGTTTGATGGTTGGATAGCTGGTTGGTTGACTGTTAGTTTAGATAATTAGTTGTTATATTTATATTGTTTTTTTGTTATATTTACTTTTTGATATTTGGTTGAATGTTTGACTGATTGGTTGGTTGGTTGGTTGTTTGTTTGTTTGACTGATTGGTTGGATTGTTTGATGGTTGGATAGCTGGTTGGTTGACTGTTACTTTAGATAATTA